GCCACTAGCTCTCCCTGCTGTCGCTGGTGATCCTTACCAAATTGCAAACTCTCAGGGTCTGGATGCAACAGTGCTGTCTTCTGGCAACGGGAATCTGCAGCTGATGCTTGGACCAAGAGTTTCACAAAAGACAACAGGAATTGCTTTCGTGTGTGCCAGGAGCCCACAGCTGTTGGTCTCCTAGCCCTGTTTCTCGTGAAGTCCCTAGGTTCTTTAGCACTGTCTTTGGGACCGTGGCTGACCTTGACCTCTGTAGCCAGAACACTTGGATGCTTTGTACAGCCCGTCACCGGAGTCCCAAATGAGACCTGACAGTGTGATTTATCCTCTTGGACAGAGTGGGAGGGCAGTGCCCCAGTGGGGGATTCTTCAGAAGGTTGTCAACCGAATCAGCCCACACCCTTCATGTATCCTTACTGCTGAAGCATCCTCCAGCTAATAGGGTTTTCCAGGGTGTCTCGGGGGACTGGAGGTTGGCTGTGAGCCCCAAAGAGTGTGTTTGATGAGGCAGCCTGCAGCCTTATCTAAAGACATCAACTCTGGGTGGGACTTTTCATCTTCCCAACAGGAAGTGGATGTGGCACTTCCCAGGGAGTCAGTGTTTGTCTGCCCCTTCCCCAGCCTGTCACTATGGTTTCCCCCTGCAGCCACCAGATCTCATCACAGGGTCTCTGCTTCTCGTGACTTTATTTATTCACGGAACTGCCAGCCATGAGTGAGATTCCAAGGTGGCAACGAATTACCATGAAATCCTAAAATGAGCACTATAAATGTTATTCCTTACTGGGGACATGTGACACATGGCCAGTCAGGCAGAGCAGGATTGACATTGTGCTCTAGGGGCCCAGGGCCTGAGGCTCCCCTGAAGCTTCACAGCTGAGAGACATAGCTGGGGACTGGAGGGTGGCAGAGGGAGCAGGGCTCTGAGCCACCTCGAGCTGCTGATGTGGGGAGGGCATGAATACAGTGGCTGCTGACAAGATCTGGGTGGTATTTATTCAGCACCCACTGTGTTCCGTGCCTGCTTGGGAGTCAGATCTGAAGTGACCAAGTTCATCGCCGTTAGGCATCTGTGCTCAGCACAGAAGGCGCAGAGAGTTCCGGGCGTCTGCGGGGAGGGACTTGACACGTACAGAAGTATCTGTCATGGGAGGAGGCCCGAAGGCTGCGCAGACAGTGCTTGAGTGGAGTCGAGAGAAGGGGACAGGAGAAGAGCAAGCAATCCATAGAAGGGACAGGTGGAACCAGAAGGATCTGGAGTTCAAAGCCAGCCTGGGTTACATGAGAGACTGACTGAAAACAAACGCTTAAAATCCTAAAGCTTAGTATTAATCGTGGTTATGGTAGTAAGTGAACGAAAAAAAAGAAATACAAAGGAAAGGACATGGCTGCTCCTAGGTATGGTGGGGGAGGAGGTGTGTCACAGATGTGTGGGAGAGCGGAGGCAGAGGCAGGGAGGGACATCTGGGAGAGTCCAGAGTGGACATGACCAGACTGAGCTGGGCCATGTGGGGGGAGGGGAACCAGGTGCAGCAGCCAAGAGGGCAAAGGTAAAAAGGGTGGGTAACCAAAATGTCTGGATTATATAGGGGAGAGCTGTTGTCAAAATGTCTAGGTTTACCCAGTAACGAGACACAAACCGTGACTCAGCGGTCCCACGTGGAATTTTATTGGTAGCCAGGGAAGGAAAGCTGGGTAAGGAATAACCAGCCCGTGCAGAGCTGGGGGGGGGGGGGTAAGAGAGGAAGACGAGAGTGAAAGAGAGTGTAAGCGGGCAGGGGTCAGTCCTTTAAAGGGGTCCTTTGCACCTGCGTGGTTCTCACAGAACTCTGGGCTGGCCAGAGAGCTGCCTGAGTGCATCCTGCCAGGTAACAGGGCAGGCCAGCGTAATGCCTGAACCTTTCGACAACCTCTGAGGAAGGGCAGCTCAGCTCCTAGATTGGAGAGTTGGGGTAGAGGCCTGGGTACACCAGCCATACCCTGTAGCAGGTTGGGACTGAGGGATACTGGGAGAAACTGGCAGCCAGGTTAACGAGGCATCTCAGCCTTTTGTCCCAGGTTTGAAACCTAACAGTAAACACCCATAATGCCAGTCTCCCCCCCCCCAAAAAAAAACCCACAAAGGAATCACCACAAGTTCAGGGCACCCCAGGATTACGTAGACCCTTTCTCGCAAAAGAGCAAAACGAAGAAGAGTGCTGACAAGATGACTCAGAGGGCAAAGGCATTTCTGCCAAACCAGATGACCTGCGTTTCTCTCCAGGGCCGTCGCGGTGGAAGGACAGACAACTGCCTCCGGTTGTGCTCTGACCTATTTATATGTATACTGTGGCATGCACACGCGGCACACAATAAATGTGCCTTTTTAACTTAAAACTAAAGATGTAGTCAACATAACCATCTACCTGTATTTATCAACTCTATGAAATATGTTGAATCTTGAAGTCAAAATTTATGTTAGATTTGGGGAGCTAAGATGTAATGCTCAGTGTAGAGCTCCTGCCTAAGAGTCCACCAGTGAGGCACTTGGGTCCCTGGTACACAGACAGCCCTGACCCCAGGGGACTGTGTATCCACACTGGTATATCCATCCTCACTGCAGAACTCCCCTTGGGACACACTATCAGCACTCCCCAGCCGCTGCTGGTTTGCCTAAGACCCAAATTGCTCAGAATTCCAAAATGGCCTTGGACCCTTTGGAGAGGGTCCACAGCTAATGCGAAGCTCTTGATAAATAGTGTCAGAGTCAAACCATAGCTCATTATCATTGCAATTACCATTAGTGCTCAAACCTCACCACTCTTAATGTCATTATGGAAATGCAAGTGATAATCACAGGGAGATGCTGTCACACACCCATTCCAGTGGCCCAAAAACAAAGACAGCAGGATGAGTGCCAATTGCCTTTGTGGCCTTGTAGTGACTTAAGCCTTTTCCCTGCAGGGCTTTGGGGAATGGGACCAACATGTGTGTGGGGTCTCCCGCAGCAGGATCCCCTTGTAGTGTCCACCGTGGTAAAGCAGGAGATGGTGAGGGAAGATTGGCCCCCACTTATAATCAGAGAGCCTTGCAGCCTGGACGTGGGTGTGGGGGGAAGAAGGAGCCGAGGGTGAGGTTTGAGCCCAACTGCCGGGTGAGTAGTGAGGGTCGTGAGATGGGGTACACGTCGTGTGAGATGTGAACAGTGTCTTCTTGCCTCAAATAGGAAGCTGGTGGCAGATTGCCAAAGGATGCCATCAAAGTCCAACTTAGTAAACCAGTGAGTTTTACTGGAGCTGCTTACAGGAGTACAGTGAGGAGCTACCCACAGGAACAGAAATGATTCACAGCTCACCCAGGATGCATGATGGCTCTCAAAAGTGGAACCATGGCGCTTGTACACAGTTTGATACAGCTCTGCAGATTGGAAAGTGTTTCAAGCAGCTTGTCTTGTCTGAGACTGTCTCACAGTTCTCTTGAGAACGAGAGAAGTACTTGCTGATTGTCGTTAGTTTGGGGGACTTCCTGAAGCTTTTGCATTGTTTGAGTCCTGATTTTTGTTTGTTTTGTTTTTTGTTTTGTGGTTTTTTAAGACAGGATTTCTCTGAGTAACAGCTCTGGGTGTTTTGGAACTTTCTGCCTATGCTTCCCCAGTGCTGAGATTAAAGGTTTTCACCACTACCTCCTGGCTGCTTCCTGATTTTAAGAAACTTCTAGATAGAATGGAATGTTTGACCTCCCTTTAGAACATCTCAGCACTCAGGAGGCAGAGGCAGACCCATCTCTGAGTTCAAGGCTAGCCTGGTCTGCATAGCTCTGAGCCATCCAAGGCTAAATAATGAGACTCTGTCTCAGCCAAAACAAAAACAAACACACAAAAAGAATATCCTGTGTCTTGATGAGGTCCCCTCCACGGTAGAATGCTGTATCTCAAAGGAAATTGCTATACAACAATGTATCAGTGTAGCCTTGCAAAGTAATGGAGAAGGAGATGTGAAAATCCGGTCACACAGCTCTGGGTGGTTGGTAGCGGCGAGAGATGCCAAGGTGACAGGAGCAGCCTCAGTCGGGGTCCTCAACAAAACCAGGGGCCCAAGATCATCCCAGAGGAGGGATATACCCAGCAGGGAGAATGTGAAGTCAGGCAGAGGCTGGGAGATGGAGCCAAATGCAGAGAGAGGAGGCTGGAAGAACAGGACCCCTGAAGCTGAGGCCATCTGAGGACTAGGATACAGAGCTGACATGTAGGCTCTGGTGGAAAGGACAGGTGACACAGCTCTCCAACACTGCCTCACAGATATGTCAGGTGAGCATTTATTGTGTCCCTCAAATGCTTAAGCCACATGTAATACCTAGTAATCATACAAATACAAACATTTTAAATGACTCTCAGGTTGGGGGGAGTTCAGCGTTCTGGGGAAATGTCCTTGGAATGTGACATGAGTTCTGTTTACCTGACCACCTCTTGCTAGCAGGTGTTAGGAAGCAGGGTCATTGGAGAGGTTGTTGGGCCACCTGGGTGCTCCCCAAATTAAACTCCTGAGTGCCTGGTGCTGTGGACAGGCCTGACATGCTTTCTCCATTCATAAACTAGGATCAGGAAGTGATGGCGCACATCATTAATCTCAGCACTCGGGAAGCAGGGCAGGCGGATCTCTGTGAGTTCAAGGCCAGCCTGGTCTAAGGAGCAAGTTCAGGACAGCCAGGGCTGTTAGAGAAACCCTGTCTCAAAAAAAAAAAAATACTGCATTACCAAGAGTCTGACCTCATAACCCCATCATCTGGGTAAGCAGTCTAGAAGATAACTATGTGGCTTACCTGGGGTAATTAACCAGAAAGACACAGTGCAGACATCTAGAGAAAGAGCAGAAGGAAGGAATCCTCTTCTAGAATGGGGTGCAGACAAGATGGTCTCAGGAGGCTTTTCTGAAGCAACAACCCATCTTCAACTTGAAGGTAGATAGGAAGCCATGCAATGGCAGCCAGGGCCCTGGTTGTCTGTGGGAGACAGAATACCTCCCTTAGTTACCTGGCAGGAGACAGACCATGCCCGAAGGTGGTTTTCCCAGAGCCAGGCTCATTCATTGCACTCCAGGTGTGCTGACTCCTGCACTTGTCCCAGATGTGGGAAACTCACCTGCATAATTTGTGGAGCATTGCACTTGAACTCTTCAAAACAAGGGCTTAGGTAGGAAGGTGCTGGGTGTATTGGAGAAGCTGACATCACTCCAGCTCATGAGGGAAGACAATGGGGACAGCCACAGTGGTCCAGTGAGCTATGGTAAGAAGTCTGTCTTAGCCCGGTGGTGGTGGCACACACCTTTAATCCCAACACTTGGGAGACAGAGGCAGGCAGATCTCCATGAGTTCAAGGCCAGCCTGTACCTACTGAGCAAGTTCCAGGACAGCCTCCAAAGCTACAGAGAAACCCTGTCTTGAAAAAAAAACAAAACAAAACAAGAAGTCTGTCTTTCCATTGGGTGGGTGTATGGTTACAGGAAGGGTTTGAGTGCTCCGTTTGGTTTGTTTTCTTTGAGATAGTCTTTCTACGTAGCCCAGGCTAATCCTCTTGCTTCAGCTTCCAATCCCTGGGACTATAGTGGAATGGAAGGGTTACAAAGAAAGCAGCAACAATTTGGTTTTGATTTCAGGGCTTTAGCACCCTAGTACCCTCCTCCACTAGGACAGCCAGGCTGGTGGTCTAAGGCTCCACCATCCCCTGCCACCTGGCTGCCCCACCTGCAGGATTGAAAGTCATTTTCTGCACAGGAGAAGGTGCCTCAGTTCTAGATTCACCCCTAGGAAGGAAGCAACTTGTTGGTCACTCTAGGCCATGGGAGGCCCGCAAAGCAGGTCACTGCAGCTCTGACTTTCCTCAGAGAAGTCTTAGGCTGCCATGACTCATGGATCTGTCCTCTCGGAGACAAGGCCCCCTCCTGCTCTCCATGTAGGTGCCCTCAATCTGTCCCAGGCCCCCCCGAGCTGCTTGATTCCCACTCCTGCCCCATCTCCCTGTTTCCTTCAAAGGATGTCAACCAAGCATCTCCCTTGAGTCTCTTTTGGGCCAGGCTTGGAGAGAGGTAGGTAGGCCAGGAGGGGTTCCCACATCCTCTTTATCTCCCAAATGTGGTTTCTTTGTGGACCCAGAGAGGTGGGGCAGGTACTGTTGTCACTCTTCTTCAGCCCACCAGGGAATGGCGTCAGATCCCCAGGGTGTGGAAAGTTCCAAGCTCCCCAGTTTGCCCCGGTTGCCGCTACTGCGTGCTGCTGGGTAAGTGAGCAGCCTTGCTTCCCTGCCTCTGCTGTGACTACAGCTGTCAGTCCTTAGTGGAGTGGGCGTTCCTTCAGAACATGGGGCTTTGCTGTATACAGCTTGGAAACCCTCACAGCTGCATGGCTTCTTAGTGGCGCTGCCTCATGACTGTATACCGGGTGTCTCCCTCAGGCCTGTCTTTGCTGTCGACAGCCACTTAGTCCTCCAGCGCCTGTGAAGGTGGTTTTCATATTATGCGAGTACTTGGCATTGGACCCAGGCAAGCACTGTACTGCCGAGCTACACCCCCAGCCTTCTTCTTACTTCTGTGGAGACAGGCTTACCATCTGGTTTTACAGATGGGGGATTGAATAAGTCAGGTCCCTTGCCTGTGCCGTGCGTGCACAATAGATGTAAACGGAGTCAGGATCGGGACCCAGTCTGCCTGGATCTGTAGCCAGAGCCCGGGTACTCACCCTTTATCGCGTCACCTGTTTGTCTCCGTCCAGCCCGCCTCTCAACTGCTGGGTGGGTTCGTATACTGCCTGTCTCTGCCACTCAGCCACCAAGCTCCTGTCTGTTGGTGTTTTGAGGCGGGGTCTCATCAAGTAGCACAGCTGCCTCCTAATCCTCCTGGATGCCACTGCGACTCAGTTACATTCCGTGTCTGGTCCATTCTACATGCCCAGGAGACCCCTGCTGAGCAAGTGAGAGAGTCACCAGTAAAGGGTGTGGAGAGCTGGGACCCTCACACAGTGTCCATCCAGAAAACACAATGGGCGGTTCCTTAAAAAGTAAACCCACAGCTGTGATATGACCCAACCCCTTGCACTCTTGGGCACTTAGCTCCGAGAAATAAGACTTGTGTCCGCACAGAAATCTGGCTACCATTGTTCATAAAAAGCTTCACTACTTGCCAACTCTGGAAACAGCCCAGGTGTCCAGGTAAAGACACCTGTGAGCTGTCCGCATTGTGGCATGATCCTCAGCAGAGAAAGCGCTGTGGAGACTCCGGGCAGGCTGGAGGAACTGTCGGGAGATGATGCTGAGTGAGAAAAGCCTGTCTACCTGCAGAGTGAGCCCTATGTGCAGCGTTTCTAAATGGGAGCCTTACAGAGTTGGGCCGTAGATGTGACTGGTCATGGCTAGGGACGGGGTACTGGTGGGAGAGGGGCATGGAAGGAACTAGAAACAGCATGAGGGGTCTCTGCAGTGACAAAACCCTTCCTGCTCCTACCATGATGGTGGTGAACTTGTAGAGAACCGTGTAGATTGGATAATAAAAACGCAGAGACAGATACTGGGGTTAAAGCTGAAGATCAGAGAATCAAAACGACCAGACAGTAGAGAGTTCTTACCCCTACCAATGCTCAGACCAAAGGGGCGGTCCTGTCCTCAGACTGTATCTCCAGACAGCATCGGTCTCCACCAAACCTCAGACTCCCCCCAGCTTCTGTCTCCTCCCACCTTATATATTCCTCTCTACTGCTGGGATTAGAGGCGTGGGATCCCAAGTACTGAGATCACTTTTGTGTGAGCTGTTTCTCTTTTAGACTGATCAATTTTGTGTAGCCCAGAGTAGCCTTGAACTAACAGAGATCAACAGCCAACCAGAGTTTGCATTTCCTAATGATTCTAGTGGCTCTTCAGAAATTGGAGTCTGAGAATCAGGTCTGAGAGAACAGCAGCCAGGTTCCCTGAATGTGAAAGAAAGTCAACTATCCAGAGAGGAGGACAGTAGACGAGGCCCAATGTAGGCATTTCTGTCAGATTGTGATGGAACAGGTATTCTGGCACTCAGGGTCACAGAATACTGAGTGTTGCACAGCTCAGATGGAAAGGTATCTTGGAGCTCAGAAGCCAAGGTATATCACAGGTTGCAGTAAGCCTAGCAGCTTACAGCCCTGCTTCAGGGAAAGGCTTCCCCATGTAGGCTCCGCTCCGGCAGGACATGGTCTTCCAGCTGGGGATGTTTGCCCAGTGTAGCAGTTTTGTTTGGCAGGAGGTTTCTCCAGTGAAGTTGCTACAGTTCAGCTTTGCTCCTGGAGAGTGGAGAGCGGAGCCAAGGGAAGGTTTCCCCTGCAAAAGTGTTATAGCCCTGCTCGCTCTGCTCTGCCCAGGGTCGCCTCTGCTCTGCTGCTGCAAAAGAAGATCTTCACCCAAAGCTCATGGAAGGTGTTTATTGGGAGGGAAGAATCCAGGAGAGTGGCTGCCCTCTACCAGAGTGGCAGAGGACAGCCTGGTAGTGCAAACAGCCACAAGCTGAACAGACACAGGGTTTATGCAGGGCTTCCAGGGTGGGCACTGGTCAGATTTCAATGCTGAGCTCAGATTGGCTAGAGCTCTGCACAGGTTTAGGGTCAGATTTGGCTCTGGTTTCAGGGCCAAAGTGTGTTTCTTTCTCTGGTCTTTTTAGCCTTTTGGCTCTAATTTTAGGGCCAGGGTGTATTTCTTTCACTGACTGTGACTCCTGGGACAAAGTGTGTTTCCTTGCCTCTGCTCAGGGTGTGTTTCTTTGGCTGGTCCCTTTTCCCTACACCCAAGTATCAGTGTCAAGGGTAACTCCTGGAGCCCTGGTGGCTTCGTCACTCCTGTGTTTGCCCACACACTTAGCAGGGTGAGGAAGGAAGACTGGGCACAAGAAAGCTGCCCTGACTCCGGCTTCTTCATCCTGTGGAAATGGGTTTATCTTCACCCCCTGGGCCTCCAAGAGGCCCCAAACACTGAGTGCCAGTGAGACCCTTTCCTGAGAAGTGGGGCAAGAAAGAGGACTGTTTGGGGGTGGTGAGGACAATTTACTCAGTACAGGTCATCTGGACTTAGACAGTTGTAGACATGTCAAAATTCTGTCAGTGGCTATGGTGATTTGAATAAGACCCCCCCCATATCCCTGGCACTTGAAATGTTGGTCCCCAGTTAGTGGCACTCTTTGGGAAGGTCTTAGGAGAAGTCAGTCACGAGGAGTGCTGTTTGGAGAGTGCGCCCTCTCTTTCCTGCTTGTGAGACGTAAACTCTAGGCTGTTCCTGCTGCCTGGTGCTTCTTCACACCCTCTATGATAGTGGTGGCGTCCTGTCCCTCTGGAACCATAGACCAAATAAACCCTCCCTTGTATATGTCGCCTTGATCATGGTGCCTTGTCACAGAAATAGAAAAGTAGCTAATATACTGCCTATGGCAGCTCACACCTGTGATTCCAGCACTTCAGAGGCCAAGACAGGAGGGTCAGAAGTTCAAGACCATCCTCAGCTACCTAGGGAGTTCCAGGCCAACATCTGAGACCCTGTCTCAAAAAGAAAGGAAAAAGAACACCAGCCCCCATACAAATCATCAAGTGTATTCTTAAAGCGGGTACATTTTACCTCATGTAACTATATTTCGGTGACTAAAGACATCGCTACACACTGCCAAATAACAATAGTAATGAAATAGCCACGTGCTGTCTGCCAAGTGCTTTCCAAATTCACGTGGCAAGCTATGTCAGTGCACCCAAGTGCTCGTGGACAGAGCAGCAATTACACCCAGGACTGGCCGGCTGCAGAGAGAGCACCCTTTGTTTCCCACCCTTCTTACTTGTCTTTTCATCTGACGGGGTGACGGGATGCTGGGAGGTCCCCTGCTGAGGTCCTTGGGCCATGTGCCTTCTTGGAGCTCACAGCAGTGGCCCTGATCCTAAAGTCTGACCTTTGATGCAGCAACAGAGCAGCTGCAGGATTGCTAGCCAGCTTCGGGGCTGTCTCTCATCCTCAGCCCAGCAGCTGGGGATGAGCCCCCCTGCTGCTGTCAGGAGCAGCAGAACATGGGAACCTGCCGTAGCGCGCAGCAGCTGTTGTAAAGATGGGGAGAAGGCAGTGAGCCCTGCGTGTGCAGGACGTCACCAAAATGCTCTGTGCCCTTTGTGTGGGGGGGACACACCACTTGAGAAC